TAGTTTTACATTTTACTTTCATCTCTTTCTTAATAAACTCAAAATCAAATTAAAAGTTTTTTATTCTGTAGGCTGCATAATAATATTGTCTATGTCCAGTATAGTGAACGTCTTGCGGCTGAGATGACGATGATGAAGTACAAAATCATAAACACCCAAAAATTTGGGTGTTTATGGGGTTTAAACCCAATAAACCCAAAACACCCGGTTTTTACCCACCAGACTTTAAACCCACCCAGGTGGATTGCCCATCTCTACATGTGACTGATGATGTGAGCATGTTCGTTTCATAATAAAAATGTTGCCAGGTAACCAAAAAGTCGTATGTTTTTGTGCGAATTACGATCATAATCTTTACGATCGTACATTAAAAAATAGACAAATAATAGTATGAGTACGATTTAAATCGTATATCTGTCAACCCTGCTAGCAAGACAGCGACAAAATCACGTTGCATAACAATGTAGCCCAAGCTTATATCTTATGAAATATACGGAAGAGATACGGACTTAGAAAAAACAGAAATGTTGTTCTTTGTGGAAGTCATTGATGAAATTCTATGTATTTTAGCCCGCAAACTTTCTTCAAACAAAAACAGCGCCATCTAGTATCGAGTTCTGTAATTATCTCTTTGTTTATGGATTTGAAGTAAGACCGCCACGCATGCAATACATTATGACTGGGGATTCCCCTATTCGTCGACGCTGAATATGAGGCGACGACAATCACTGTCAAACGTGTTCACTATTACTCTGACTCTGGTAACGTGACTTCCTGGTAACGTGTTAGGTAGGAAAAGCAGTAAAAAAGTGCATATTAAGGGAGCAGATTTGAAATAATATTTATACTTAACAAGAAATAATTAAAGGTAAGTGGATTTTTGAATGATACAATTATATCATGATCACTTAACAATTTTAACTTAAAATTAGATGTATTATTACAAGCTTTTATTTAGCTTGCGTTATGTAAATAAAAGTATGTAGGTATGTTCGTATGTTGATGCAATTATCCTCAATCCTCAACCGACTGGGATAAAATTTTCCATACACGTTTATTTTGGATGATAGTGCATAGTTAGCTGAGAGTCGTCATTGGATAATAATGGTGGATAGCCTAAGATGTGTACTAGATATTTATTTTTAACATAATATGCGTAAGTACCTAATCGAATTAAAGAAGTTGCTGAGAAAAATACAGAACAATACGATAATAAACTAGCGTCTGCGTTTAATCCTCCGAGGAGATGTAATTTTACAAAGGTTTTTTGTATTTATTTTATTATTTTTTTAATAAATTTATTGTAAATAACAAGAAATAATCATTGTAAAAAAATAGGCACTCTATTGTTGAATTTTCGTCAGACCAACTAATCATCGTTCATTTTTTTAGGTTCAATGGGGAGACCTAAAGATTTACGCATATGGGAGCACTACCGTACTTTACCAAACAAGTCTGTTTCTTGCAAGCTTTGTAATAAGGTCTACAAATTCAGTAATGCTGCCAAAATGCTTCAACATCTTATCACTTGTCCAAAATCTCCAGAAACATTAAAAGACTCTATGAAACTTATAAAAGATAGCTCGTCCAAAACCAAAATGTCTGGACTGTCAGAGATAGAGACAAATGATTCTTTTATAAGCCCCTCGTCGTCTGCTAACACTACAATAAATGCTGAGTTTCAAGACACCGATGATCATATAAAAACAGAATTAGCGAGAGCTATATTTGTAACAGGGACGCCATTATCGATGGTGCAACATCCTTTATGGATACAATTTTTCGAAAAATTGCAACCAAAATTTAAAATACCTTCACGTAAAGCTTTAGCGACAAAATACTTAGATAAAATATATAGAGAAATGCGTTTTGAGTTAAATGAGGAACTAAATGCTTGTAGTTACTTACACCTTCAGTGCGATGGCTGGTCTAATTTAAGAAATGAAGGAATAATAAACTTTCTTATATCAAAACCTCAACCTGCATACGTTAAAAGTTTGAATACAGAAAGTAATCCTCACACTAGTGAATACCTTAGCCAAGAAGTTGAAAAAGTAATGAAAGTGTATGGAGCAAATAAGTTTCTTGTACTTATTGGCGATAACGCTAGAAATATACAAAAGGCATTCGAATTAACAAAACTCAAATATCCACATGTTGTTCCTCTCGGTTGCTGTGCACATATCCTTAACTTGTTGTGCCAAGATATTGTAAAGATACAAGAAGTAACTGTGTTTATTATGCAAGCCATAAATATAATAAAAACTGTTAAAAGGAGTCAACGATTAAGTTCCTTGTTGATAAAATCAAGGCAGGGTGAAGATTCTACACAAACACTAAAATTGCCTTGTGCTACAAGATGGGGAAGTCATGTTACTTCGTTAAAAAGTTTGAAAGCAAATAAGATAGCTTTGCAAATATTAACAGTTAGAGAAGATGTGGTAATTTCAAGAGATATTAAAGATTTAATTCTAAGTGATGATTTCTGGACGAAGACAGGGGAATGTATAAGTATTTTGGAACCAGTCACTGAAAGCATATTTTACTTAGAGAGCGACCAGAATCGTTTGCATCGCACATACATTACATTTAGAGATGTACAAGCTAAGATACGTTTTGCATTAAATGAGATTTCGACATTGAGCGAAGAAAGCAAACAGCAGATTCTAACATCAGTATCTTCAAGATGCAATATGGCAATGAGGCCAATACATTTTGCAGCATATATTCTAGACCCCAGGACTCTAGGAGTCGAACTTACTCAAGAGGAAGAACTTAAGGGTATGGAGTTTATCTACAATTTAAGCCAACACTTAAGTTTGTCAAATGTAATGGCAGATTTGGCGTGTTATAAAGCTAAAGAAAACTTTTGGGCCAGAGGATTTGTATGGAGCTCATTAGATAGCATTGAGCCCCTAATATGGTGGAAAGGTATTTGTGGTTCCACTGAGTTAAGCAAAGTAGCGATTCGTATTCTATCAGCTCCCTGTACTTCGGCAGCCACTGAGCGTTCCTTTAGTATCCAAGGCTACATACATAATAACAAAAGAAATCGACTTACAACTGAAAGAACTGAAAAAATTTCATTCATTTGTTATAACTGGAATCTTAAACATAAAGCTGAATGCGAGGACATTCAGTTTAATGAAGAAAATACCTTAGAAGCTTTCATTGAGCAAGTAAATGAACATAACAGTTTAGACGAAATAGAGCCTATCGAACCTATACAATTCATCGCTTGTAATAACTCTGAATCTGACAGTGATTGACTGTAGTTTTACATTTTACTTTCATCTCTTTCTTAATAAACTCAAAATCAAATTAAAAGTTTTTTATTCTGTAGGCTGCATAATAATATTGTCTATGTCCAGTATAGTGGACGTCTTGCGGCTGAGATGACGATGATGAAGTACAAAATCATAAACACCCAAAAATTTGGGTGTTTATGGGGTTTAAACCCAATAAACCCAAAACACCCGGTTTTTACCCACCAGACTTTAAACCCACCCAGGTGGATTGCCCATCTCTATCAAGGATGATAAAAAAATTGAGTCACATGCCGTTTTAGTATGGGCATAGCTACTAGTATAATATTATATTATATTAAATGTGACACAAGTAAGTCATATCTATACTAGTAGTAAGGGAGAGTGAACGTTTTATGTGTTTTTTTTTATGCAATTTAGAATGGTAAACAAGCTAACCACCCACCTTATAGAAAGTGGTAACAGTTGCCTATAGACGTAAACAGTACCATGGACATAACAGAGTATACTGTTTCGCCTATGATACCCTCATGCGTTGTTATTCTTAAGAACTTAGGTGTTACGCCTCTGTTCCCTGTGGTTTCATTATCATATCCCACCATTTAAACCGAAACACAGCCACGCGAACACAACTGCTTCACGGTAGAAACGTGAATTGGAGAGATTAGTCCAAGCAAACGAGTTTTGCACAAAGTCTCCCTCTGATAAAAAGAATGCTTTTAGTTAAATAATTTATATCTTGGAAAAATGATCAGTTTCGCTGATAGAATGTTCTTTTAAAATAATGCTAATTATTTCTATTTTATATTGTATATTTTGTATTATAAGAAAATGTCAACTTTTATTTTAAATTTATGTTTAAATATAATTCAGTTTGTAATTACAAAATAATAAATATTTTTTTTTCATCATCCTGTTTGAGATACTACAATAACTAGCTTGTATTCTGACGTAACAAATGATTTTTAATTAGTAGTTCTCAAGATAATAAAGTGGTCTAATTAAACCGTTGTCCAAGTCCAATGATCATAACTATACCCGACCTACCTATTTGTACTTAATTACACAATATTTCTCTAACAAAACATTCTGCCATTCTTTTTTTGGGAAAGGTAAAGAATATGGTGTGATGATTCGACTCGTGATGCGTTGTTGAACTTTGAATATAAGATGATAAGATTAAAATCTACTTAATTTCGTTTTCTTTGTTGTTATTTTTTTTGTTGACACGTTATGGCCACGTTCGTCGGATTAAAATATCTAACATAATAATAACAATAAAAAATAATTGTAATATCCATTCAAATGTCGTGTAATTTACTGAAGTTAACCTGATAATTGTTTTAGCTATGCTAAAAGTGTAAATTTTTGTATGTTCCGCGATATCTCTACACATTCTGAATCAATTTCAATAATTATTATTGAATACGGTTTAATTCTGTATTGGTCCTACATTACTATATACATATATTGGTTATAATTAAAGTGATTATAGTTTCCGCACATCAAAATCTGAAATTTTAATTCACATTAATTTGTTAGATTGAAATTAAGAATATTAATTCCTTCTATCCAAAAGTTGTATAGAAGACATTGCTTAACAATAAAACAGCTTCTTGTACTTATTACTACACTTATTTCAAGTATATTCACATCAATTCATGTAATATTAGTGCAATAAAGTGGTAAATAAATAAAGTGTTAAATAAATAATATAAAATTCTAATTTTGCAGGGGTGGTGGGAGGCGAGATGGCGCCAGTTGGAGTCAAAGTCTTGACGACTTCGTGTGTAGTTGCCAACCCTGAAGGCAAGGTACGGGAGAGTTTTGACCGAAGAGTTCTGACCAAGAATGTGACAGAGCGAGTCCGCGAGACCGAAGAGAGGTTCCACAGAGGTGACACTACTCATGAGGTAAGTAACTTTATATTAGTAGCTTTAGAATGTTCTAGTATAACTTAATACATTATTAAGAATTATTTATGAATATAATATAGTCGTATATATTTTGATGCGCGTACTATAAAATTAGTACAACGGCATCACAAGTATGTACAATCTCATCAGCGTTATTGGTCAGTCACTATAAATATTGACTGTTATATTAAATATATGGTTATAAATTTTATATGTGTGTACCTAAATATATTTGAAAAGGTATCTAATTTGAATATTATCACTGGAATTCAAATAGGTGTAGTTTTAGGCAAGCGGGTAAGGAAGCGCACAAAAAGCCTGATAAGAATAAAAACTTCATTTTAAAATGTGTCTATCAGCAGTGTGAATAAAGATCATTGTATATTATCAAGTTTTAAACCTCTAAATAATAAAGCAGATGCATATTGAATTATTATGTTTAGTAACTCGTAAATTCTTGCTTAATACCAACAAGATGATTCAAGCAATTTACTAGTGCTTTTAAGTTCGTACAGTGCGATGATGGGAATTATCTCGCCCCATAAGATGTGAGCGACAAGTTGATAGAGTGTCAAGGTTCGATTCCGTTCAGTCCACGATAGATACCGATGATACATGCTAATGGACTCCTGGGAATAGCAAACACCCGCGCTTTCGATATGTCGAGTTAAGGAATTTGTAATATTGTTTATTTGAGTTTATTTTCTGTTCTAAGATATTGCGGTTTCTTATGAGTACGTGATGATGGAAGTTGTAAAGTCTCACAAGGTATCCAACAAAACCTGTTTTGTAATTCAAACTTTTCTTTAGTGTTTATTACTTCGTTTTGCAAAGTTATGTGACCATTTAAAGGGTTCCATGGTTTAAGTTCATAACATTATCTTAATGAGATTGGTTTTTATATTGTATGTAGTGTTTCATGGGAATCGACGATTTCGTGCTTATTGCAACTGACAACGAAAATGTAAGGATTCGTTTTGGTAATTTCGCTTTGGTAATATATACTTATTTGTCATTAATGTATCATTGTTGCTAAAAGCTTTCATTATTGAAATGAATTCGTTGCTACAGTTATAGCAATGAATTGGCATTTTAAAGTAGTACTCATGATTGCTAATGACGTATAAGTAAGGGTTCAATAATTCGAGATACTTTTCGGTTAGTCGGTTATTTTCTGAATATTTTTTTTAACAGAAATATAACTTCAAAATATAGGTCTTATATAGAAACCACAAAATGTAACTACGAAAAGTTTTATGACAGTCAAATTTATAAATTTTTACTTGAATTTACTTGAATACGAATCTTTTTTTTGTAATTAAATAAGTTCAAAGCATTTTGCAATAAATATATGGCATTATGAGCAAGTAGCTACATTTAAAATTATTGTTTATAAGATTATCCTAAAATTTTATTGTTTGACAAGAAGTTAAATATTTTTGAAACAACAATTTTACTAGTGTAGTAAAGCTTTATTATCCAATAAAAGAAACATGAAGATATGACATAATATATCATATTTTAATGAATAAAATCACAATAGACATTTGTATTATAATCACCAGTTACATTAGTCCACTGCTGGACATGGTCACATGCTAAGGTGCATTACCATCTATGTTTTACGCATTCAATGTTTTTCAGCCATATTGTATAAATTGTCGTATCTTCAAGCTAGGTGGCGTTCAGGATTACGTTTGCCTAGACGCGACTCTAAGTTTATATAAACTGCACCATTTATATGACAAATGTGTTTGGGCCATAATTTTTCCGGAACTACATCTTTTCGACGGATTATCTCGTGACAAATTAATCAAATCGCTTTGGCATCATTTTTCAATTTTAAGTATTTAATCAATGACTGTGCTAATGACTATTTTAACTATTTAATAATATTTCATTGCAGTTTGAACATATTTATCTCATTCAAGGCTATCGATATTACTAGACATTTTATATTTTATGCAATTGCCTCGACCTTTTGATGTAACCTATTAATCATATAAATATGATAGACGCTAAAGTTAGAATTTAATACGATTTGCAATCTCATTTAATTGAATAATGTAAATGGTTAGTAATAAGTGGGTATGATATAAAATATTATACAGTTTAACCTACATACTGTTACTAACTACACTCTGTGTCTCTAAGTAAATTAAGGTAACAAGTAATAATATGTAAATCTAGTATATATAAGTTGTCAGTGTAGTTTTGTACCAAATTTAATTCATATCTGTTTGGTTTTATAAGTGTAAATGAGTAATAAATATCCAAAAATCTAATTATCTGAGTATCAAAATTACAGATCGATAATATTAAAATAATTATTTTGAAATAATTATAAAAAAGAGGGTTTCAAACTGACCATAATATGTGTATATTATGGGATGTCTTTGCTATTCCTTTTTCATTGGCAGAAATTAGGTATTTCTAGATCTTTATTTTTAAATTATAACCAAAAATTTATTTTGATCCATAATGATAACAATATACAATGAGGTTACATTTTTATGAATGGTTATGGAATGGTAACTTTGCCTGCGCTACTAGTGCGTCAGTTAGGTACCGTCCCTAAGTCGAAGATAAGGTCAATTATGTCGGTCCATTGTTATGAATTCACCAGACATTGACTACGATAGCTTTCAGAGGAACCACGTATAGTATGACCTGATAGGATATATTGTTTGCAACGGGGCTGCTAGTCCCCATTATTAACAATCTTCCCATATTGATGAGATTAATTATTTGCACTAAATGAGTTCCGCGCTCACTGAGGTCATCTCGGCTCGTGAAGGCAAACCTCTTGGCATTTCCACTGAGGGCAACCGCAAATCTTTGTTGCACCATTGTAATACAATTGAATCTATGCCAGAAGTAAATACTAAAACGTTCAATGGGAATACTGTGTCATATAATGTTTAGTTGTAGGTTGTTGTTTACAAATTTGGGGTTGAAACAATTGTGCTTAATAGGCCTTCAGTAATAATCCAATTTCATTTATACGTGAATTATGTAATGGATTTTGATAAGGGAATGACTTCTTAAAATGAATTAAAAGATGTTTTAGAATTCCTTTTTTAAATATATCAATTTAAATATTAAAAAAATCATATGCATCAATACCCTCTTAAAAAAATAAAAAAGAACTAGAAATATCTGTTTAAATATAGGGACTTAAAAATACTGTCAAGGTTGGATGTATTTCTAAAAATATCGTTTTTGTTTCTTATAAACTTTATAAACCTTTTGAACCTGATTGTAAACATCTCAATTTTTTTACTGAATGTTATTTAAATAATTATACTATAATTTATTATGTATAATAAAACATAAGTATACCTTATAATGATACAAATATCTTAAATAACTGAAAGTTATAATGTATACAGACAAGATAACTTAAATTGAACTTATTTAGCGTAGAAGGTTTGAAAGTAAAGAGCATATTTTAAACTTATAACTGGCGCCGCGCGTATTGCCTTTTTCCAATAACAAGAGCTTCGAGCTCATACCTTTGATTTACGATTGTAAAACTTTAATGCTTATATCTTTTTCTACCTACATAGTTCTATTTAAATGCCGTGATTATACACTTTTATTTCTTTTTAATTTGTATTACGATCACTGTTTTTTTATAATATCGTTGATGTATCAGAAAATTAATAAAACTTACATCGCAAAGATTCAAATCTTATTGAAAATCTTTACGAAAATTGAAAATAGATACTTTGACGTAATTCTATGAAACTTTTGTACTTTTGCAGATGAAACTAATACTTTTTTTAATCTTTATTGTTCACTAAGATTATAGAGTATTATTAAATCCTATAACAATATAAGCTCGAAAATTTAAAGAAAATTTAAAGATGGTTAGTTGTTTGGTACTCTTTCACCAAAATACTATCGAATGGACTTGAATAAAATCGTATGTACTATCCTATCCAACTATCTTACTTGGGTAAAGTTACGGTTAAAACCTAGTAAATATATACTGCTTTGAGTAACAATAAATAACAAATTATGTAACAAATAAATAAATGAGTGGCTCTATAAACACCCTTTCGAATTTGATAATTTCTAACCAAAATATTTAATTCACAGTTCATAAGAAGATTAACAAAATATACTTCCCACTATTTGGCTAATAATTAACGATGATTACTGTATAGTTATACTCGTAGTTTTAATATTATTTCAAAGTTGTATGTGAAAATTCCTTTGTATAAATGCATTTATGTTCGCAGAATATTCTTTATTATTTTAGAAAAAGTATAGTAAGACACTTATCGTGAAATGGAGCAGCTTTATACAGATGAGCATTCACATAAATCGATGGGGATTTTGAAATTATAATTTGTTCACGGAGATAGGTCGCCGCGGGCGCCCGCCGCCGCACCCACGCCCCCTGCAAAGTGCACTTGCAACACCGAAACGCTTCGGTTGCACTCCATAATGCTTACTGCGTTTTATTTCTACAATATCGTTGCTATATTATACGCATTGAGGAGAATGGACATTGATAGAATTTGTATGATAAGATAATGGCTTGCTTTTCAATATTTCTCTTTGATCATAATATTGTTTTTGTATTGAGACTTATTTATTTGGGAAATATAAAACTTTATATATAAAACTGAATACAAATTAGTATAAAGTCTTTTTTTACTTGCAAAAGCCAAACTTTTAAGTGAATATAAATTAGCATTTAAATGTAAAGTATGAATGCTTTGGTCGTACAAATATTAATAGATAGCCCATAAAAATTAAAAGCAAAGATCTAAAAACATTTATTGTAAATTATAGTAATTTTTAGTATATTTTACAAACATTTTAGATATCATTACATAGATAATAAAAATGTCATTGTAGATAATTGCAGAATATGTCAAGACCAGAAACGTAGTATTAGATATTTAGTAGAGGACGTATTGACGTAATCAAAACAGTAAATGTTTTGTTTAAAACTTATTTTATGTTTACGTAATAAAATAGAA